GGGAACAGCTGAGCTGCATTTAAAGTTGCTACAAGGATGTAGCCTGTTCAGAACACGGCTCAGTGAACTTATAGACAAACATTTAGCCTTACTTGCAGTACTTTGAGCTAAAGAACATCTACATTCTGTAAATATGTGAGGCAGGTGGTAACAGAGGGAGAGTGTGCTTTTTACCTGTAAGATGTAAAGTGGCTATGCACATGTCGATGTATAATATATAATATAATAATGTGTAGAAAAAGTGTTTTTTGAATCCTTTGAAGTGCAGCAGTTATGGCCCAGTAACGAACACAAACCATGACTTTAAATACGGTCTTTGTCGCCATTGAACATCTGCGTTCCCCAATGCCACGGGCAAACTGCTCAGTGTCTTTAGCTGCTGTTTAAATATAATCCTATATTATATGAGACATATAGTACCTGAGCTCTCATTACCTGGATGTCTTCTGAAGCGTGTGGCTCACCTTGGTGCCTCATGGACGACGTATTGTTCATGTGAAATGCCATCATGCACTAATCAGCCAAAGATAAATAGTCTGCCCTCATATGGTGCTTACCCACCTCAATGGTCCTCAAAGCGCTTTGTAGTACTCCTCATTCACCCCTTTGTCTTGCCCACGGACACGTCAGCATGTGGCTGGGTCAAGGATCAAACCACCAACTTTGCAATTAGGGGACAGGCCGCTCCAGCACCTGAGCCCAGCCACCTGAAGAGGCTCTTACCTGCATTGGGGGGTGCAGTGGGGAAGTGGTGTACGACCCACAGAGGGTTTTCAGTTGGATGAGGCAGCGCTGATCCACATTGTGATGCTCTCTTCTTTTGGATTGGCACTCCAATTTGGAGAGCAGCTGTTTATGTCAGCTGAAGTTTCCCATTCCCCCTGCAACAGTCAGAGCTAATTTGTAAGCCCGCTCTATAAGATTTCTGTCAATGTGCTCTGTTGATGTGGACCTAGTTGTGACTGTGCATTGCTGTATTTATACCGCTTGATTTATACTTCATCCTGGTAACTGTTCCAGATAATAGCAAATTAACATAACAATTTTATGGTGCTGGAGTTTAACTTTCAGAGTGTTAACCCAATTTCAGCAGCATTTCACAGTATATTCCTCTTAATTAGCTTCAGCGGTGTCTTTCTGCTCAGATGATCACATAACTTCTCATTATAGGAACCATGCTTTTTCACATGCCTGTGCACTCCAACCCAGTGATGTGGAGAACAAGTGTGGCTGTGTGGAGAGCATGGAGGACACTGAAGCTGAGCCTGCACTCTTCTGGAGCTGGTGCATCTTCTGCTCCGGGGTCCCTGGACACATGTGAGGAAAAGCCTCCTCACACACCTGTCATGCTGAAGGAGGTGCTTCATTACTTAGACATCCAGCCTGCTCAGGTATGTTTGCAGCAGCTTTTTCAAGCTTTTGAATGTCCTTAAGACAAAAACATATCAAACATTTATTGACAACAGATGAGCGCTGTAGTCCGGTCGTCAACAAGAGCAATGGTGCGATTTAATTTGTTGTAAGAATTATTTCCAATAGAATGTTTTCACCCACGGATTTATTTCCATATTAAAAATGTGCTAGATTGTGTTCAGACTGTAGGCAAATCTGATGTGTGACTAAACTGGATCTCAGGACGGTCTGTCCACGCTGGTATTTGCAAGCGATTAGGTCATATTTGTATTTTCAGGCATTGTTATCCGGTCTGCCTTGGTTGCTGTGGTAATGGCATAGGCATGCAAACTTGTCCTGAGATTTGTTTCTTATGTTCCTAAATTCTGTTCCTCTCTTGTGTGTCAGAACATTTGAAAGTTATTGCCAGACTGTTGTATTAGTTATATTGGACGGGTTTCAACTGGAAGAAAAATGATGATACCAGTGTTAAGAAATAGTTTGTCCAAATGTGTGCGTGTTAACACCTCAGTAGTATTTCATTGCAATCCGAGGGTAGCGATTAGAAATGACCTCTGTACCGATAATTCTTCTCTTCACCGAGATGTGTGTTGCTAAGGTAGAATTCTGTTCACACTCTCCATAGCGACTTGCTGTTATAAAGGCACACATGAGTTGGACAGGGTGCCAGTATCTTGGCTTTCACTTAATGTATGTACTACCAGGACAGATGGGCATGAGTCAAAAGCCTTCTGGTGTGGCAGGCAGCATAGGAGGGGAAGTGATGCCCCCCTCCCCCCATATACTGCATGGTCAAGGCAGGTGGGGGCCACGGGGCAACAACTTAGTCAGGAATTGCGCCACTGTCAGGCTGTTGGCAGGACACAGGGTGCTGCGTCGCTCCTGCCTGAACTTTAGCACCTCTAAACTCCTCCGCTGCCCGCCCATTTGCCAACTGTCCCAAGACAGCTTGCCAATCAGATGCTATTAAAAACAGTTTGATAGATTTTATTTTTTTGTGCCGTACATGCTGCAGACCTCGTGCAGTGTGACGTTCTGCGGGAATGTTGTACGGCTGCGCTCAGAAGTCGTGTCTCAGTGATGCTTCGCTGCAGATGTTTGTTAATTCACTGGTCCTATAGCTCACAGCCTTATGACAGCGATGACACGGTTCAACAGGACATGCTCAGGAAGCTCAATGGCTATATCAGTAACTACAAATACAGAAACATACCGATAACTCTCTGTTAGTCTCAGTCAGGCACTAAGAAATGTGAAATCTGACGTGATTCTGACAGAGCTGAGTGATGGTGCGCGAACAGATCAGCCGTTAACAGCAGACAGATGTGCAGATGATCAACGATGTGAATAAATGTTATCAAAATTAGAAAATCACTAATATTCAATTGCTCTTGTCAGAAAGAGAGTTTGTATGAATGGATGACTGAAGGGCTGCTGGGCGTGAGAGCAAACGCTGCCGTGAAGCTAAAGTGTGTAAATGGAGGCGTTCAGGGCCCCGCTGCCTCCCAGGTAGCTAATGTGTGCTGCTAGCCTGCGCTGTACTTCCTCTGCTTGGTGTATGACCATCGTGCTTGTTGGATCTGGATAATCTGTCTTATTTCTTCAGTGCAGTCAAACATTCGCTACACAGACATGTACGTATCCCACGGCGAGTTGATTTAAAGGTGCAGCTGAAGCAGGGGTTCTGCCTGGGTCTGATACGTATGAAGCAGGAGGGTTTCCAGCCCTGCTAGTCGCTTTAGGGATGGGAACACTGGTCATTTGGGCCACCACGTCGGTCCAGACTGAGGAATCTCAGCTACTCTCAGATGGTTTGCGATGGCATGTGTTCCCCCGGGATGGCCTGTGAGGACTCTGATGAGCTCTTGACCTTCAGGCCGGGGCCACGCTGACACGGATATTTTGCCAAACCAACGTTTTTCTCTACATTAAGCCTCTCGTCCACAAAACTGCATTTTAGGACACTTAATAGAGATTTTTCTCAGTTGTCCTTCTGAAGTGCAGATTTTTACAAACTCAGGTTTCTGTGTGTCAGTGTGGATGTCTGAAGCGGCAGGTTCACCAGACGCTGACGTCACACCTCAGCGTGTCCACAGGTGCTTATTGTAATGAACATGTGCCTGAAAGAACTGCACCCAGGGCAGATATTTAACAGCCTCTTTACGTTTGCACCACTTAACTGACACGCAGACGTCTTTGCTTCTGCTTTGTCCGTTACTACTCGGTTCACGGCATCCACGGTTTAAAGCAGGGGTTCTCAACTGGTGGGTCGCGACCCAAGGGTGGGTCACGGACAGCTGGTCAAATTTAAATCATATATAATGTGCATCTCAGGTTGGACTCATTTTTTATTTTGAAAAAACTTTTATTTTGACAGGCACGGTAACCATAGTTTGTTTGACGTTCATTTTAAGTTTGTGTTGATGTCGGGACGCAAGATGGCAAAAACGTGACCCGGAGTATTTAAAATGTGGGTTTTCATACTAGGACTGGACCCGAATAGCCGCCTATTGGTTCACTGTGCTGGAATCCAGATATCAGTTTGGATCGCTGAATATTCCCCCCCGCCGCCGGTCGGACCGGAAGCTCAGCAAGAGTCATGGTTGCGCTCGCATGTGCGCAGAGATATTTAGTAAAATGACGTCCATGTGGAGCGGCTGTTTCTGTCCAAACGAAGAGGGAGGACAGCCACCTACCAAAACATCTGCTTCAGTGTTCACAAGGCCTCCGTCTGTTGCACCCAGTCGCTCAGAGTTTTGGCGTATCCTCAGCATCGACTAGATCGCTTGTTTTTATGGTTGTCAGACATTTATTCTAATAACTAAGGTGATCCTTGTGACTTTTCTTGTAGTGCCTAAATAATTTGACATTTGGGGCTTTGAGTAAAAGTGTTTGACATTTATTGGATTGAAATAAAATGTGGTTCCCACAATTATTCTGAATTAACTGTAATAACTTTTGTGATTCCTAAACTTGACACGTGGTGCTGTCAGATTATTGTCTGTTGGTAATGCTGTTTTTTGGACACCTTGTCCCTTCATTTGCTAGTGACGGGGCTGATGAACAGGGAGCAGGAGATCATTCACCACACGGTGGGCAGCCGACCACTCAGCTACCAGGTCACCCCGCTCAGCTGTTCATGTGTCCGACCCTTAAATATTATGTGCAAAGCAAATCAGATTCCCATCAGCTGCACTTAGCATTAAGTGCTAATTGACAGCGCTAGCACGGACGTTGCACCTGCTGAACATCCGCATGTTAGCGTGCCACCGTGGTGCTCTGCTTTTAATGGGATCTGTAAATGTAAACCACTTCCAAATCACAGATGTGGACACATTTCTCCTCACCACAGTTTCCTCATCTTCTGCAGATGTGCTGACTCTTGTGGTCGCTTGGTTTTACTTTTCCAAGAACACGTGTGTGTGCTTGTTTATCTCCTGGTTTTGGCCGTGCCAGCGCCGACTACTTAACCCTAATGCTGTGGCCTAATAGCGCGATTGGGCAGCTGAGAGCTGACCCAAGTGCACATACATTTACCATAAATTACTCATCAGTTCATTATTGCTATTGAGGGAATACTTTTGTAAAAAACAAATATTTTATGGCAGAGCTCTGCTTCAGTGCAGAAAATATGTTTGCAGTGGGAAACAGAGAAACGCATCCGTTATGACTGACCGCTAAATTCATTTTCTGACACGTATACAAACTGAGAGATGGACGAGCACGGCGACACGCAAGGTGACCAAGTGGGAAAAGCTCTGTTCGTCTGGATGTGTCTGTTCAGGAAGTTTGTTGGCTTTGGCAGCGTCGGAGCATTAAGGAGCAGGTGATTGTGAAAGCTTTGCTCCTGTTTCGTAACCTGGTTTATACTCGCTAATCTCTGAGCACATCAGCAGTTCGTACGGTAACAAACCTGCAGCTCGGTGTGGTTCTCTGGACGCCTGCTGCCTTGTTGTCACTGAACCATGGCGGGAACGCAATATGAAGCCAGAGTATGATGATAACTGGTGTGTTGTTTTGCCCCATGTGCTGAAGGGCTAGTCTGTGTCTGTCTGTGTTTGTTTGTTTGTTTGTTTGTTTGTTTGTTTTGGGGTATTTGTTTTTACAGAAGTGGTGTCTAAAACGAGATGTCTATCGAACTAGTGGCCAGACATCCATTGGTGTTTCTTCTCGTTGTCCCCAGAGCATTTATATTTAGAACAATGGCATTCTTCTTTAATGGTGCCTGATTTGGACTTGGTGTCCGTGTGGACCTATGATTAGCACCGTCGCCACATCCAGAGATTCTAGACGTTGTCATGAACCACAGTTTCTTTTCATATTGTCCCAGTCAACTGATTATGTGAATTTTTAACCAGATACAGATGTTGGAAGTTTGGAGCGACGGCTCAGAGTTATCAGGGAGGCCAGTGAGCGCCGGCGACGCTCAACGCAGAACGCTGAAGTCCAGTGAAACAGACAGAAGCTGCCGTCCCCGTGTGCTGCTGCTACCGCGTTCAGCGTCGGTACGACAGGAAGTCACGCTTCAGGAGCACTTCCTTCATTAATGTTTTCTGTTACGGTGCTTTCAAAAAAACTTTCTGTTCAAGTAGGTAGACACACGGTGAAGCCAAAGCAGTGGTGAGCAGGACGAAGCCGAGGAGCCCTTGAGTGGCGCAGGCTGTTTGCGTGGGGACGTCCTCCAGAGCAGATTAATGAGCCATCAGCTGAGCGTCGGGGGGAAAAGCCCGGAGCTGGTAGAAGCAGAAACAAGCTGCCTACTCTCAGCACACTCCCCCTGGTGGAATTAATGAGGCCATAAGTTGTTTAACTTACTTTTTGGATCAATATCACAGTCTTTCAACAATTAACACATTTCTGAGTGAGATGAGGTGACGGATGAACATTAGCAGGACAGTTTTTCAATCTTGCGTCTTTGTGTTTATGGCAAGGCTCTAACAGGAAACAGCTTCTTGAGGCTACGCATAGTTATGTTGCT